CGCACTTGTCCACACTTCTCTTCTCTCTTTCTCATTTTTTTCTCCCATCTCGTTTTTCTTCGCCAAGCGTGAACTACAACACGCCGTTTCACTTAGAGCTGTGGAGAGTCTAATAAAGTACAGCTGGAAAGAACGAACCTAATGCGAGGTGGAGTCGGGGGAATTCAAAGTTCTCGTGTGATGCGACCGGAACTGCAATTGCAGTTTGACATCGTACGAAATGTTACGTCCGCCCGATTCGATCTTACGATTCCCGACTTCATTAAATTTCAATTTAATTTATTTTCTCACACATATTTGACACATATTCTCACAATAATGACATATTTTATATAATAATAAGGAAATAATGAGGAAATTTAATTGCGAATGCTCTTCTTGAGAAATAATCGTCTCCTTTGACATATTAAGTATAACAATTCTATTTATCACATTCGATATCATGATAAAATTGAAAAGTATGGATATTATTAACAATAGTGATTGTATCTAAATAATTTTTTGAAAATGAGGAAAAAATTTTCGATAAATCGAGAGAAATGAAAGCAGACGATTAGTGTAATAAATAAACGTACAATTATCGTCTTTTTCTAACATCAAAGTACTTGGTATCTCAGGAATCGGAATATGATACTTCGTTGCTATCGAAGCATCAAAAGCGCCGATAAAATCAGAGGTTCGTTCGCGACTCGAGGCGGAGGTGACATAACAGCGACGACATGTACGGTCGAACGATAAGAGTGCTATAATAATCTTACGTAAAACCGGAAGTGTATCGTCGGTACCAATTACAAGTTGTGTATCGCAAGTCGCGAATTGCAAACGGAAGCGCGTCTCCGCCCACAAGAAGATAAATACTGCAGGCCTATTTTGTAACTCTTAACGTAAATTTCGTTATCATTATAACGCTGCTGCGCAATTCTTTTAGCAAAAAAGCTACTGGATTTAATAAAAAATCTACTGGATTTAATAGACAAATACTTTTCTTGAGAAACAATTATCTTCTTGGCTGTATTATGAATAACAATTGATTCTATTTATAATATATTCAATATCGCGATGAGATCGAAAACTGTTGATAAGTTACTATCATTATCTGTCACAATGTCTGTATTTAAATCGTATCTGCGTTTTTTGACGCTTATACCATTCAAATCAACATTTAAAAATAAGGCTTTAATCTCGTTCCTCGTTTTACACTATTTACAAACATGATAAATGCAAATACAACAGAAATTGAAAATAAAATCGCTGGCTGGAAGTGCTTCATAATTCTCAAGAAAATATGAGTGCCATTCACGTAATTAGCAATGAAATGTAATATGTGTTGCAGCAATTAATTTCAAATATTCTCGGTTATAGAAAAAGCAAGATAGCTTTATTTACACGCGCTCCAAGATAGCATTCTCTCAAACATTAAAACATTAATGCAACAAGAGATGCAAAAGAATGGATCTAACAGCGTGAGAATAATTATGAAATTAAAGTAAAGAAATTAAAGAAGAGAGAGAGAGAGAGAGAGAGATTGCTAATAAAATTATCTGTTTATTAGCTCAAATTATGTACATAAATGCCCCTCCCCACGTCGCGTGCACAAATCCGCGAACTAAAATACGTGTAACACGCACATGCGAATAGCCATAGAAAAATAGTGATCGAACGCACGTTATCTTAATGGAAAACGAGAAGCTCCTTCGTCTATTATCAGTTTTGTTTTCGAATGCCCAGCATACTGAAAAACTCTCACGTACCGTGCCCGCCGTCCATAACGCGGAAAATCTCCGCGTGCATTTTTATAGATAAACAATCGCGGCTTCGTGCATCTGCGGTCCTGAATTTCGATATTCGTATCGTCGATTGTGTAATAGATTAGCGAGAAGACCTCTCTTAAGCTCTTCTTTCTCTCTCTCTTTTTTCTTCTTTCAATTTGAAATAAATTAAGCTAGGATTATACGAACGGATATCGTGACGGAAACTTAGTTGCGAGTTCATAGCAAAGTTGGAATTGATTAAAACAAGTTCAAGCAAGCGCAGGCGGTTGTAAAGCACGCGTCGTTCGCGATTTTATATTTGATTGTATGTAATCTATCGATTCTCTTTAAAACGCATACTAAAAGATTCATGAATGTAAAGATACGTTACTTATGCGCGAGGCGTTATACATGAATGAATGATTATTAGCGAAATCTTACTCTGGGTCAACGTTTCTTTCCTCGTTTCGAACGGCGAAATATCCGTTGTGGGAGATGGAAAAAATTACCGTACAGAAATAACCGCGTATCCCTTTAAGTTACTGCGAATCGACGGACGATTTCGCGATCGAAGTCCGTTCACGAAATCGGAACGAGTGGGATTTCGCAGAAAGGTCCACTTTACGCCGCGCGAATCTCGCGCGGCACACCTAAGGGACGTTGAAAGCACTGCTACGAAAAACACTCTCCGTCCCAGGAGAAATTCTCGAACGCGGCTCAGCACTGGTACAAAATCATCCCTCTCTGACTCACCCCCGTGACACGCTCCGAATTGAGTTCACCCGAGGACACGGGGGCGGCCGCCCGTAATCGCGTTATTTAGGATTCTTCACGAGGGCCGAGGCGAGTGGAGCGAGAGACGCGGCGCGACTAGCCAGGGTAGTCCCGAGAAAGTAAACCACCCCGAGGAAAAGTAGGGTGGCTCGTCCGGCGGCGTGCTCGTTACGCCGTACCCGCCCAACGCCAGAGAGAGGAGTAGAGGACCGTCGATCTTCTCGAGTTCTCCGCGAGAGATATTCCGGCGATGCCGGCCGATAATCGACGCGATAGCACGATGGGACCAACACACAGATGCGAATGGGTGAGATAGAAAAACGGTAGAACGTATAGACACGGGAAAAAGGAAAAGGAAAGAAAACTGAAAAAGAAAACTGCCACCTTCTACACCCCCGAACTATACTCGCCCGTGTCGAGTGCGTCACGCATCCTCTTCGGTATTCCTGGCGCGAGGCGGTGGAGGCTGCTGCGATGCGCGAACGAGGCGAGGCGAGGCGATGAGATGCGATGCGATGCGAGACGAGGCGAGGCGAGGCGAGGCGAGGCGAGACGAGGTGAGAGACAGAAGACTCGATCCTCCCTCCCGAGAACAAGCGAGCGAGCGACCACCCCTCGTCGACGCGGTCGTGGCGATCGTCAACGGAGATCCTTCTCTCCCGCGAGTCGCGCGCGTTGCGAGAGTCGGCGACAAGCTGCGCTTCTCCGCCGTGCGTCTCGGCCGGAGGGTGCGCACGGAATTGATGAGGGCGAGGGCGAGAGAGGGTGAAAAGGTAGGCGGTGGAGGGCGGGGGTGAGAGAAGGCGCTCTCGCACTCACATGTCTGTCGTGTGATGAAATCGGCGCGCGCGCGACGTACCCTCGTATCACCGACGACGGGGTACGACGGGGTGCGAGGACGAGCACCGGCCCGGGACCGTGGTCATCACGCCGACGACGACGACGAGGACGACGGTGCTTCCTGCTGTTACCTTCCTCTCCTTCCAATCGGTATACTCGGCTCTACTGCGATTGTCGCTTCCTAGCGCGCGTTACGAGACTCGTGCGATCGACGGTGCGACGATGTCGCAGTGCGCGTGGGGCCTCCGTTAGACTGTCGCCGACCGACTGACGGACGCGTGATCGGTTACATGCATGGTTTAATGCGGTCCCGACATCGCTCGGGGCGGGACGCAACGCGCGCGTACCCGCGACCAAAAGTGTGCTATTTGCTACGAACGAGATAGAGAAAGAGGAGAGTCGGATAGGGGTGGCGAGACGGATAGGCGAACGCGAGGATGTGGTCGAGTGAGAGAGATTTCGTTTGTGGGGTGAGATGAGAAGGGTGAAAGAGGAGGGAGAGAGAGAGAGAGAGAGAGAGGGCGCGCGTAAGAGGAGCGTTCAACACGGAGGGATGCTCCACGCGTAAGTCGCGAGCTAGCCGATGGTGCTGGCGCGGGATCGGAATAAAGACTGACTGTGATGGTAGTGGTGATGATAGTGGTGGTGATGCTTGTGGTAGAGAGAGCGCTTCTCCGACGAGGGAGGTAATTTAACCCCCGCTTTTCCCTCCCCCCCCCTCTCTCAATTTATTCGACTGACTTGGTCAAGGGGTGCGAGTGAGGAAGAAAAGATCGAGACGGGGAAGAGAGAAAGCGAAGAGAGAAGTGACTGGAAGAACGAGGAAAAGGGTGTTTGGAAGAGAAGCTGGAAAGAGGGGAAGAGCAAGATTAGAAATATAAGAGGGGGGGAGACTCGGAAAAAGAGGGACAACAAGTTGGTGTACGTGTATATATGCATCCCGATATGCGCTTGTGCAGTTACGAGCAACGGAGATGGGAAACGCATGAGAAATAGAGAGAGGGAAACGACAAACGGCGCTGTACTCCGATAACATTCGCGTTGGCACCGCGAGGCGCACTAAGGGCGTGGGCAATCCGCGAGGAAGCAAGCGAGCGGGCGAGCGAACGAGCGAGCGAGCGAGCGGGAACGGTGCGAACGACGGCGGACTACATTGATTTTGATTTTCGAAGGCGCGCGCATTTCGTACTCTCTGGATCTGCCCATTCATGCCGCTCCCGTCTCCCTAACTGTTGAGGACATTGGTCCTGTCCTCGTGCGAAAAGGGGAACATTTCGGTGTACCGGCGGATACAGCTTTAGGATTTTAAAGGCGTCTCAACTTGTTTACATAAACGCGAGCGCGACCGCGTTCAAAATTTGATTTATTAGTAGAATGTATAATGTGATGTTAGCATTCAAACAATGAAAAATGATCATCACTTTTTATTATGTATAAAAAAATGTCCGTTCTTTTCATGAGAAGACTGATTACTTTACCAACTTTTTTTTCAATTAAAGAGATATATGCAGAGTTTACAGCAATTGCAAAAATGTTTATTTGATAATTGACTTGAAGTTACATCGTTATGATTTAAAGGAATAAAGGCTTGATATATCGGTCATTCTCATACGGAAAGAACAGATTGAAATCTCATTGATCTTTATCTCATGATTTATTAGACAGACACATCTAATAGATAGAGACATACAAGTCACTTGCAATGTCGCGCGGCAATGTAGCACGCAGCGATATTAATTTATAGTTTTACACAAGGCAGTACCAAATATACGAAGAGAGAACAGAGTAAACCTGTATAGTATACGCTTCCTTTCCACCGCATCATAGACTTCATCTATGCTCCCGCAAAAGTCAAGCGCTCGCGCGACTGCGTGTAAATCCACGCAATCTGTACGATTGTTCTACTTAGCAATAAATAAATATCCATTAGAGTGAATTTAGATCACATGAAGTATCCGAAGCCGAAGGTTCGTTTTATAGCATCCCAGTAATACCTGTCCCAATTCTCCTTCGTAGAGAGCTCCTCGCTGAAAATCACGACGTTTCCGCATGACAATTTTACTTGTCAATAATACCGTTAAATTTTAACAGAAAGTCATTGTTCTCGAGTTTACCTCACTGGGACACCGCTCTGAGTTAAATTGACCTCAGTATGATCGTTCTTTTCACAGATATCGATCGTAACATCGCTGAAATGTCCGGACGGCCACTGTTTACAACGCCATTTTTGGATAATCTTCGTTGGAGTGATCTCTATAAATTCGCCATGAATATTGCCACCGAATAGCTCAAATTGACCATTTTTCTTCGGTTCTAGCTTTACCGGATTCTTCGTAAATGCTTGTACCATCTGTGAAAATTAAAAATTCTGTTATAAGTTGGCTAGTGGCTTAGTTTACATTAATAACGTCTATATTAAGACAATAATTCGGTAAAATTATTACCTCGATCGAAGAGAGGACGTTGTAAAATTCATCCGCTCTGCATTGAAATTTTACGTTTTGTTTAATCGTAGTGGTTGAGATTTTACAGTTTGCTGTTTTATTGTTCGTTGGAGTTACTGCAGCATTCATTTGCATCTTGAAAGGAAATACATTATTAATTATTTTACTAATTTATATTATAAATATATTATACATACCTTAATATTAAAACCAGATGTTATGTTAGAAATATTTTCCTTTTCTTTATCGTTATCTTTTTTAGGAAGTATCATTCCTTTCGTAAACTCTGCAAATAAAAAAAGATGGATTACAAATGTTACATATTTTTTTAAATATAATGAGCAATTTACATCACAAGTTAACAAATTAACTTACCTTCTTTTAGAGAAGATATATATTTCTTTAATTTTTCTCTTATTGCATCTTTACCCTTAGTATGTAAGAATTGTTTAACTTTCTCTCCTTCATCTGTACTATCTTTTAATGTAACTTCAATCTACAAAACATGTGTCTATTTAAATTCTTGCAATTTAATAGTATACTAAATATCAAAGGAAAATGATTACTGATCGATAAACTAAAAAAATGAAACAAATAATAGTTTGAACCATTGCCTAATTTAATAATTATATAATTTAATTAAAAATACTTACATCTACTTCACTAATATCATTTTCTTCAGAAAGATTAGGAATATTAATTTTACCCTCAATGTCCTTACTGGAGTTTCCATCTAATATCCACTTAAGAACAATATTCCATTCATAAAAAAAAATAAGTTTCCCTTTTCTATTATTTGCTACCGCCTCACCTTCACACTTTTCCATTTCTGTTATTTTACATGATACTACAAATTAAAATAAGATTTATCAATAAAGTTTAAAAATATTATAATTTCAGGACATAGTATAGTGTTCCATTTTCATAAGATATGATAAAATGTTTTAGATGAAAACAGAACGGTTAAAAAAAAAATATATTTTAGTCACGTTACTTTTTTTTAGGTAGAAGCGCTAAAAATATATGAAGATCACCTTTACTTTTTTATATGAAATTATATAATTATCTTACATATTATTCCACTAATTTTTCTGCATATAAAAGTATTAAAAATGTACACCAAAAAACAAGTTAACAAGATATTTTATACTGTATTCTGACACATATATTAATGTTAAATATCTTTATTAATATCTATTAATATCTATTGATTTTGTGATAATCGTGCCTTAATACTTTTGTGAATAAAATATTGAAATTAATCAATTGTTCATTTTAAAAATTATCCATTCTCTAGTTTTTTTATTCATTTATTCGATATCTCTATCTTAACACTTTTGTATGCAGAATTAAAGGAATCATATTAATTAAAAAAACCAGTAACATAACCAAAAACATATCCCTCGAAATCGTTCTATCTAAAATACTTTTTCATATCACATTTTTCAAGATATTTGCTTGTGACAATTAAAGAGATACTATACATATTTTTTCTAAATTTCCAATTTATAAGTGCATGTTACCAACCTCCCTCTCCCTCAATTTTGAAATTTATAAAAAGTTCTTTCAACTTTTCTTGTGACCATGCACAGGCATTCTTCTCCGTCCTACAGAACAATTTTAATATATTAAAAAGTAAAGAAAAAATGAGCACTTTGAGAAACAATCAAATGCTGCATATACTATTAGGATCGAATAATCGACTTAAAGATATCCCAACTAACATGATTATGTAGAGCAACATACCAATGCCAGTTATTAACATTAGTTGCATCAGGTCTCTCTTCCACAATCCAACGTGGATCGCCTTCGCCCCATTTTGCCATGCTTCCAAGTGATTGTGTCGGGGATTTAACAATAACGTTCCGAGCCAAGCGCACTGGAGCTGGAGCGCAAGGCAATTTCCAATTTGCAGAGCCGTTGGAGATAAATCGAGACCGCTGAGCTAACCTTCTAGAAAACTCAGTTTTCCAGAACAACTGGAACTCGCCTGCGTAACATAACCTATGTTTTAAACGGTAATGAGACGATCATCAGTCGATGGACGTCCGTTAATGAATGAGATCCATTGTGATTTTTTCAGCATACACGCATTACTTACTTACGAGTCGTCCTGCGAACTGCGGTTAGCAAGCGTTCCGAGTTTAATGTCGGGCCGCGTTTTTCGTGACGGCTCGCTCGTAAAATGCAAGTGTTCCGTTTGCGCTTACAAGGTGTTGCTTCGCGCGGCGGTTTATTGTGAGACGACGACAGAACCCGCTGTCAGAGTCAACAATACCGATTAATAATACTGATTCGCTCGCGAATCTTCAGTCTAGACTGCCATGAAACGAATCTGATTATCTGACGCTGACCGAATTGGCGTGCACACCACGGAGCATGCTCGAGCATTCTGGAAACTTCGACTGGGATTGATACCGAGGTGGCGCACTCAAGCGATTTTCGATCACGTGTTGCAAATGGCGGAATTTGTCCGCGGCAATATATCAATTTGCCGACCGTAATTATTGGAAATTACTGTTCGCGATTATTAGATAACTTATAATTAATAATGTACTAATTTATCAGCTAGATTCTGCATTCTCCTTTATATTATCATTATTTCAATGCCTAAGGACGATGTTCTGTTTTTAAGAACCAATTAGTTTCCTTTTTTTTTTTTTAAATTAAAACACAAACTTATTTTTGATCAAAGCGGATCTTAGATGTTTAAGTATTTTAGAGTGATTTTGTATTTAATTCTGCAAATCTCAAGTCGAAATCTTTTTCAGTCTTGAAATGTAATCATGAACACGAAGAGTCGAGAATAATATAATAATATATTATATAATAATTTAATAATTTTTGATGCTAATTCTTTCTTTTAAGTAATGATTATTTTTAACAATGAATATTTTCTTGGTAAATAATCTTATAAAATGTACTTATTACAAATTTTAGAAAAACATTGATACTTAAAACAAGACTGTGTTCTTTTGAGGAATATAAAATTGATCAAAGAAATGGCTTTATATAATAAGTAAATTAAATATGTTTTAATTTAATAATCTTAATTGAAATGTATAGAATTCAGAATGTTTTGAATAAATTTAATGCTTGATAGATTTGCGGATATATAAACTTTTGAATTATTTGAAACAGATAATTATTTGCGTATTCAATATGTATTATATTTTTTTGTGTGTAAATTGCTTGTATGAGTCTCCACAATTGAACATCCCGTATGTAATATTCTAACAACAAGAAAAACATAGAACGAATTTAAATCAAAATAATATTGTAGTTCTCTCCAAAAATAAATTAAATATACATACATATAAATTTATAAATGAATTATATTTGATTTATTTTTGGAGCCACAAAGCTATTTTATTTTATTTTATGTGGGACATTTTCAATCCCCAATCTCTGCGCATCTAAAGTTTCAATTCAGATTGGAATTTGGATTGGCTTTTTATATATAATATATAATGCTGTGAAATCTATTGAGATTTAGAATTGTTTGCATCGCGGCTGCTTGCAGCGAAACGTTTGCAGGATATCAGACATCAAAGAGAACAAGGGGAGAGAGGTTTTATTATATTTCTTCGTCAAATTATTTATTATACATTACAGAAAAGATCGTTGTCACAATCACGGCGAACGTTTCGCTTGTATTATTTTGATCTTCCTGAACAAAAAGTCATTCTTTTATATTATTCGAGTGTATACAACAGTATCTAATACTACTAATATTCGACATGTCCACGAATGGATCTCAATCATGTTTGTCATATATCTTTAGACCCGATTCCATCAATGTAGGATTAACTTTAATCTCGGTTTAACTTACTCTTTATTTACTCTAATTCTTAGAGTTACAAGAATTATCTATTCTAATACTTAGAATTATTCTTTATTTTAGAATTTATCTAAATCTTACAAGAATCATCTTGTTAGAATTAGAAAAAGATAAAGAGTGAATTGAATTGAGATTAAATAAGTTAAACTTACATTGGTAGAACCAGACTTAAGAGCAGAGGTCGGCTCTGAAGTTATTATTATCATATATTGAATCTCGTTAATAAAAAAGGATATTTGTTTTTTTCCTTAACACAAATATCTACATAATCTTTGATTTCGCCTCTTGATTCGCAAAGCCCAAGATATTCTTTGGTTCTTTATAAAAAACGTTTATAAAAAAACCGCCGATCCCTGTTCAAGAATATATAATATTTAATCGACCTTTTTAATGCGCTAAAAAAGATCGGTACTTAATTGCAAAAAAAGAGTCAGTACTCTAATATTTGTAGCCCTCTTGCGCCGGTCCTGGAGCGGGATAAGTGGCGGTTCCTTCGTATCGTATCATCGGCCGATACCCATTCTGATCAGCGATATAATCGACGATCTGGGTCCTACCATCCGGCAGCAGTACATGATAGGTTCCCGTGGCCTCCATGTCCTTCCTCATCTCACGATGCCCAAAGTCTAGACCTGCCACCGCGTCCTGGACCTCATACGAAAACTCATAGTTCGCTGGATCCTGACATAAGTTTCAATAAGAACATGTCTAATAATAGCGAGACCAGGTGATCGATTGTGTATTTTGAAACGAGATGAAAATTACAAAAAAGTGAGAAAGTGTTACCAACTGTTTTACCAATAAAATTATAAATATTTTAATAAATTTGCTCACTTTTGTCATTTTCACCTCATTTCAAAATAATCAATCCCCAGAAAAGTGTCATAAGGAATAAGTTCCACTTGACATTTGTAATACTCACGGACATCCACAGAAAAAACGGTTTTTGCTAAAGTATTTAAAAATTGTGCTACAGATTTGAAAATAATTTTGTTAAACATCCAAAATAATTATATAGAACGCTCGAACTGATTGCTAGAATGTCAAAACTTTTTGCAGCATTACTCATGTTTAAGTTTCTTACATAATTATTTTGATTGTTCAACTTAAAGTTTTTAGATCTGTATCTACCTAAATTTTTAGATACCTTACACGGAAAAAAATGTTTGATTGAATTAACTAGAATTCTGATGGAAAATGAACGATCCAGAATTCTGATTAAGTCTACTGAATGTTGATTATTTCAACTAGAATTTTAGATTTAACCAGAAATCTTGTAGATTTAATTAAAATTCTAGATTGTTCATTTTCCATCAGAATTCTAGTTAATTCAACTAAACATTTTTTTCTGTGTAACAAAATCATTATTTGCTTTTGTTTAACATTTGATAAATCACAAGACTGTGTTCAACAGAGAAAGCAGCTTTGCAATTGTCATGAAATTCTTCAGTATGATTGATTTTGCCCTTAAATTCTCATTGGATCTAAATGTATAAACCAATTATATTAAAGAATTTTACAACAGTAGTAAAATTGCTTTCTCTATTTAATTTAGCCAATCAATGGCTGCTTAATAGTTGAAAGAGTGCTCGCTGTTAGTGTTCTAAATCATCCTTATATATTATCTAATCAGATTTTTAGATCTCTAGAAGAATACAATAACACCGAGCGCTCCGTGATTCTTTAATACAGTTGGTTCCTACACTTATTGTTAGATCCAGCGAAGAACTAAGACAAGTAAGCAATCATATTAAAGAATCACTGATACGATCGTTTAATTTTCTCTGCTTAACGCAATCGATGATATTCGCAAGTATTGCGAATGTCAAAGAGAACATAGTCAAGAATCACATATTGCACATTTCGAAAATAAAGTGTATCTCGATGATTAGCGGATTTCTAACGATTAAGGCTCAGTTTCACAACTTATGATTAACTCTTAACCGAGGTTAAGCTTGACTTATTCCTTATCTCTTTCTAATACTAAAATTGGAAAGATGAGAAATAAGTTGAACCTCATTAACCATGAGTTATGAAACTGAGCCTAAATTATCATCTAGTCTGAAGGACCTCGCACCAATCTTATGGAAAATGTCTTTCTGCGGATTTGGCTAATTTTTGGATATGTTGTAGTTTTCTTCTGAACAAACGTCTCAATGGGCACAACTTGATTCTATGAGCCGTTTCCACGTTACAAACCTTGAAAGGTCCAGTAATCATGTAAAATCTGAACCTTTCAAGACTTGTAGCGCGGAAACGGTTCATAGGATCAAGTTGTGCCCATTGAGACATTTGTTCAGAATGATGAAAACTACAACATATCCAAAAATTAGCCAAATCCGCAGAAAGACATTTTCCATAAATTGGATATGGGGTCCTTTCTGTTCTATTTCTTTTTTTTTCTTGAAGTTATTTATTACATATAATAAATACATACTTACACCGGCCCAATCGTCCGGATGACCGGTCCCGCCTCCTCCAGTACGAGGGCCAGGTGGAAGATAAGCCGGACCTTGCGGTTCGTTCCGAACTCCTACTAGAAACATCGCTAATAATGCTGCCTGTGCGAAAAAAGAAACACGGAAACTTGTACACGTATTGATGAAAAAGAAAGATTCTGACGTAATGAATTAATGAGAAAACGATTTCGCACCATTCGATGTAATGATATTGATTCGATGCAAAATGATAAATAAATTAATTAAATGTGATTAATATATTATGATAAAGAGACGCTTTTTTACTATAAGAAAAAGAGTTGATTAACTCTTTATCTCGTTTGCCGATTTACACAAAATCTTCTGCAGAATTTTAATGAAAATTCTACAAAATGCTTCCGCGAAGTATTTGTACCAACCTTACGGATCATTAGAAATTCGATAAAATTGTACGATCGTTCGCGAAACTGAGATGGTTCATCTCGACAACCATGGTTTTATAGCGTCCAATTCAGCCCCGACGGAACGATGATTGGAGTACGCAATATTCGTTATTCGGGGAGTTTTGGTGCGATCGCATAACTGTAATTATGGCTAATAATAAAACCGCAGGTTTTTTGCGATGAGTCTAATCATTCGTTCGGTGTAATCGCGATGATTCCTGATTCTGTGCAATTGTCGAAATACGAAGCCGTGGTCTCTTCCTCTTAGTTATATTTTCAAGTAATTTGTAACGATTAAACGTGTCTCGCGTTCTTAAAATTGGATTAAAAGATTTAATTACTTTACACACTGCCATTCTAGACTACTATTATGACACAAAATTCACTAAATAGACAAATCCTAAATTTATTTTTGTCAATATTATTATCAATAGACTGATAAAGCGTTCAGATAGTTTCTTAATTCTATGTGAAAAACGCGTTTGGCAATATCTCAAGAATTTGTTAGCGGGTTTGTTCGATGGTGGTTGCCATATAATTTGCATGAAAGCCTTAGTCAAGAGACAGAGATAACAATAAGTTAGATTAATAGTTCTCCTTTCGATTGCATCACTGTTTTTTCCGTAGGCAGATACGTCGCAAGATTTAAACGACGTGTTGCAAGATATCGTAATAGATATCACGAATCAAATTGCAACAATAAACGATGCGACTTTAAAGTAGCATTTTACTTCACATTAATTCACTTAAGGATGTATCACATTGTACAGTCTCTGCAAAGAAAATTAATTTGGAAATGTATTTAATACTTACACTTTAAATAAACTACATACATATGAAGATTGTGTGAATAAGATTACATTTCTATTTAATAACACTTTTGTCATTTATTTATTTTATTTGTAATTATTTTTAAAAATTAAAATTTAAAAAATGATAATAAAAATCTAATATTTTTGGGTAAGTTCTTTAAATATTCAAAATTACTTATACAAAGTTTCATTGCGATTCACTGATCAGTTACAAGGATATAGAACAAATAAATATTTTATTAATCTACTGGACAATGTATTGCAATGTAGCTGTACATGAATAATCTTGAATACATTATGTACTTACATTAAAAATTTGAGATTTTTGTTATTTATTTTATAATATATTTCCATATATTTTTATTAGAGCACAGATTAAACAAATACTACTATTCATTAAAATAACTTATGATCCAGATAATAAACCATCACCAAATTTGACGTATTATTTTTAAATGTGATTTAGAATAATTTATAATTTTTGCATAATTTTATTATCATTTTGAAAATATGTGTAAAACATCATTAAAGAGGAACGATTCGCATTAGATAAATCTTTTAATTAGTGCATCATAGATACTCGTTACTAAAAAATTTCTATGAAATTATGAGTGAGTGAATGAGTGAGCGAGAGAGAAAGAGAGAGGAAAACTGGCTACATTTAACAGAAAAAGCAACTTCCCAGAAAACACAAAGTTCAAAATGATGTGATATAAAACATCTTAAAGATGTCTTAAAATAGACTTAAAGATATTTTTGTGAGAATAGTCCAGAAGACGACTTATGTGCATTTTTATCAATGTAAATTAACTTTGATCTCGATTTAATTTATTCTTTATCTTTTTTTTTATGCTTAGAACTGAAAAAAGATAAAAAGTAAGTTAAATCGAGAGTTAAACTAGAATTACTAGAAACGAGCATTAAAGATATTTTTATGAGAACAGTTTAAAGCTTAATCTAAAATGTACTTTTTGCTTCCTATTTCTTTATAGTTTTTACTTCTTGCCTTTTTTTCTCTTTACGACCGTTTTATCGACAATCGTGTTCCTTATCTCTTTCGAAGTGAACTTTTATCTCGGGCGATAGAAAACGAATAAATTGTGCTGTGTACAAGATAAGAAGTAAAAAGGCAAGAGGTAAAAAGTAGTAAGAAGCAAAACATAGAAAGCAAAGAGTACGGTGTAAATTAGGCTTTAAAAACATATTATAAACGACTTTTACAATTAAAAACGTTTTAAATTTTATGTTGTCTGAGTTTACAACTGTTATAAGATTCTTTAATATGATTATTTAATGCTAGTATTCATCAATGTACACAGATTAACTTTAATTTTGGTTCAACTCTTCATCTTTTTCTAATTTTTAGAATCTTAGGTCCTTTTTCCGGCAATTAGCTTTTTTCATGCAATATTTATGTAATATATATCGTAATAGAGAAGTATTATAATATGTAACTTCTTAAAGCTATTATATAAATTCATTTGATATTTTGTACTCATTTGTACAATAAAAAAGTGTTCGGTAAAAAATTTTTCATGCATGAATATGTATAAACATACATAATGAATATTTATGCATGCTTATGTATGTTTATACATATTTATTCACAAATTACATATTCACAAATGAAAAATTTTTTACCGGGTAACAAGTTATTTTAATTTTTATTAATATCAAAATTTTATAATTAGGTCTTTATTCCCTGCCCATCCCCTCAATTATATATATTAAAGAACCTTATAACAATTATAGAGCTGCTTTTTCTGCTGAATGCAATCGAAATATTTTAATGTTGTAAAATATAGTGGATATTTTATAACGCACGTGTGGTTTTCACTGGATGGACGAACAGAATAAGCGGTAAATTCCGCGCTATGGCAAGGAGTTTTTTTCCGACGTTACGTTGCTAGGCAACGTTGCTAGGCACGAAAACAATTCCGAGAATTCACTGGGTGCGCCTGAGGCGGACAAATTTCGTGGAACCGAGTTTTTCCGGATCAGGCGAGTTTTTAATATATTTTTGATAGTTTTAATTCATTTAATTTTCCGATTGACGATTTATTATCGTACGCTGATTTAACAAATACGTTGCAGTAACTTTTTACTTTCTTTTCACATAAATATAGAATTTCACAAATTGCATAATGAACTCATCGCAAAGCCAATCTATGCAAGCTAAGCAAATTACGCGATTTGCGATTGCCGTTTGTATGAAATTTGTGAAGCACGAATAGATAGAGTCGAGTTTGCATTGTCATTTAGTATTCGTGCCGGTTCGCCAGTGATTTTTCGACAACATCAAAGCGAATCGTTGCAAATGAATAAATTGTATTGGTTTGTATGTACGGAAAGAGTTACATTAAACAAGCAATGAAAGAATCGCGAATAGTAGTATAGCATATTTTTGTTTAATTGTTTAATATAATTAAGATCGAATGAGTTGTTATATGTTATATTCACTTTTATTATAAAGAGATTTATGGACAATATTCAATCATAGTCATTTCTATATGTGAATAGAGACATTCTTATTTATATGCATCACATAAATCATCTTATGTATGCATTTATATATTTACAAATTTATATCTACATAAAATTTACTTATAAATTCCTTTACATTCCTTAAAAGACTCGTTACTATATTAGAGATTGAAATTGAGGGAGAGAAAAATATTTAATTTAACAATTCAAAAGAAAAAATCAATAATTTAATGAACTTTGCTTTTGATTAATCAAATTTATTCTCAATCTTCTAATACGAATATTAGAAAATATAACAGAATACATAAATTTCACGTAGATATGAATTTGTTACTTATAAATGTATATATATATATATATATATATACAAATGCATAAATACAAAGTAATTAAGAACAGCTAAAAAATTATTAGCAAACGGTTAATACGAGACTGTCACGGCAAATGTTTTTGAAACCAATAAAACATTTCAACGCGTCATAGTATCCCGAAACGTTAGCAATATTGTATTGTTTTAAACACAAAGGCCTATGCCTCAACACGCGTGACCTTGTTAACTGCGAAGTCAGTCGCGCGTCGGTAATCGGCCATTAAACACATATTTCATAATCCTTCCTTGAGGAATGAAGATTCCTTGTTCTTCATTTTACATTTCATAAACTTTTCTTGAGCAAATAAGAAGCCTTATTAGCTTCCTTTTCTCAAAGGAAGTTACGAGTTTCCTTAAGGAGGAGATGCAGCTTTCATAACTAAGCAAATCTGTCGCATCAATAATTATTTTCGACAGCTTTTTTTGGAAATAAACTGTGCCAAAAGCATTTTCTCTTTCTTCCACCCTTAAAATAAGGAAGAACTATGAATACTGATGTTAATCTACGCCACAGTCGTGTGCGGACGAATTATATGTTTCGCACGGCATCGCACATTTCGGCGTAATTCTATCAAATCGAATCCTGTCGGGGATAATATCGGTAAGGGATTCATCGCGGGTGACAGTGCGAACGACGAATCTCGGAAAATAAGTCAAATATATGCGTGATTATATTCAGTGTATTCGCTAGCACCGCGCCAGTATCTTTTTTAAACTCATTGGACGCGTTCGAGCTGAACAAGTTGCTAGCCTGCTTGTCGCGAGCAAATGAATGTAATTGGTTGTTACTTATAGATCCAACCAATCACATTTAATCGTTCGGTGAGCAGGCTAATTCACCTTGTTCGGCTTGAACATGCCCATTGATAGCAATACGTGCGCTTTTATTTTCGTGGAAATCTTACTCGAAGACGGACGCTTCACTTTTCAGCACGTTTTTCTCAGTGATTCTGTCGAATTTAACGGAAGCAATAATTTGCGAATGAAAATGATTGCATGAACAACGAAATTTCGTGATTAACGTAAGTCATGAAGTGAGTTGCGCACCGCCGGCCGACGGAACATGGCGCTTAGTTCAGTCTATTCGAGTCGCACCAGTGGCTGTTCAGACATCTGCGTGTGTTTCCTCGACAATTCAGTTGAATTGGTGCTACTTGAAGTGATAAAATGGGAACAAAGTGATCGTATGAACAAGGAATTTTACGATATCGCGAAGTGAGACAAACCGGTCGCGTCGACAACCGATGGAGCTCAGTTCAGTCTATACCGTTGCGTTGTGCGCGAATGGACGGACGTTTTACGCAGTAAATTATATTTATCGCCCTTTTCCTCGGTAAATTCTGTCGAATTTACTGCTACCGGAAGCAATAATTTGAACGAAAGTGAGCAATGAATTTCGCGATTAAGTTGCAAAATGTACTCGCGCGAACGTACGGATTTTTTCAAGGTCGTCCCGCGCCGTGTTACGTTTTCAAATTTTGTCGTTAATACGTATGCGTCGTAATTTTCATGAAAATTTCATGCGTAGATGGACGTTTCTTTTCTCGCGCATTTCGTTCTTAATTTCATCGAATTGGGCGACGCCAAGAGTGACGATTGAAATGGGATGATTGAGTGTATATTTGTGACAAGTGTATAATTATTGCAGACAATGAGGGTTCCTGGAAGTGCCGGACAACAGGAGCTACAACATCCTAGGCGGTATCAGCGTGTCAGCATCGCGAGGTAGATGAGACATCGAACGGTGAGTACTAAATTGAATTTATTCCTCTATTCACGTAACAATTAATTCTCTTCCACCGATTGATGCGTTGATTTTTCTCGCCGATGCGTCCACTTGATTTTTGAACGTTAAATCCATTAAGGATGATAGGATTGTTTGGTATTATTGAGATAAGATAATATTATTTAATTATTCTCTTTCAAATTTAGTGCAATTTGTAACAAAATATATTATTAAAATATTATCACGGAGTATTGAAACGTGAAAATCACATGCATTCTTTAGCTACCGTTAAGTTCACAAAAATTTTCTTTGACGAAGGATTTGCGATACATAGGCCTGATTAACAAGATGCTTTACTCTCTTTCAAATTCAATATTTATGCAATTTGCATTAAAATGCTATCACGGAATATCGAAACGTGAAAATCACGTGTCTTTGGTCGCCGTCATTTGGAAAAATATTTTTCGAACAAATTTATTGCGTTATGCAAGGCCTGATTTACAAAATTTTATTAGCATTAACATGCTAGTCTTCCAGTGAATTATAGAAGACTAGGGATTAAAAAGTATCTTAAATTATATTTTTTAACTGCCATTTTTCTAAAAAAAATTTTCTAACAAATTTTTGAATTACAATTATAATTATAATTATATTTAAATTATTTATAATGATAGATATTAAAAAATAATTTTAATTATATTTTATATTTGTTTTCTAATTTGCTACAAGATGGTAGTTGCTAGTAAAAAACATCATATAAATCAAGTTTATATATCGCATAATAAATTTTTCCGATGAGCCCGACAGTAATCAAACGCAACCTGATCGATTGAGGTAATTCCTGGAACTACGAGAAAGTGCGAATTTCGTGGAACTGAATCCCGACCATATTTTACTTCTTCTGCATATCTATGTTATGCAAAATAAAATTATTTTAATTTTTTGCAATGATTTTCTCGTAATAAATAATTTTCCGTAATACAAAATATATTTATGATTTTTGATAGCAACGAAATAGTGTGTACTTTTTCAAATTAAAAAATATATTTATAAAATAGTATTAAATATTAATTAAATATATTTAAACAGCATCTATCTTTTTTCTTTCTCAGAATAAAAATGAATTTATCTTGAATAAGATTTATAATATTTCTTTATTATCTTTAGCCGATTCTATTACGCATTTATTCCAAAAGAAATATAATTTTTCTCTTTTTTTCTATTTAACTTTCAAGCGAGTATTGCAAATTTACAACGTTCACTTTAAAAATTAAATTTGAAATATATTCAGAAAATAAATTTAAAATCGCGCAAATTAGTTATATTTAGTTAAGAACTTTAGATGGAAATGAATATACGTAGCATTGAATTAAAATAAAGTATAACTTCTACTTCCAGAGAGAAAAACTATATATCAACATATATCAACAAATATCATAGTTTGATATTGATAGATTCTTCTTTTATAAGTCGTTTTTTAGTTAAAGCAGTAAAACAAGTTATTTTTTTAATAGCAAGGTAATGATCTCTCTCTCTCTCTCTCTCTCTCTCTCTCTCTCTCTCTCTCTCTCTTTCTCTCTTTCTCTCTAGAAAATTAATTTAATTTCTTTAAATAATCGAAGGAAAAATGAAATAGGATAAAACAAAGTTTGAAATAATTGTTAAGATTCAAATTGACCGTATCATTTATTACGGCATATTTATTCTTACAAAACGTCTACAAATTCTTCTCACAAGAAAAGAACTTAAAGCACACTTAAAGGATTTATAAAACTAAAAAGTTTAGTTAAAGTAGTGACTGTGTAAACGTGAATCTTTGGTTTCTTCGACAATTAAATTTATCTTGCATATCTCACTCTTCTTATATAATTCTATATAATTATGAATTATTGTGCGTATATTTAGAACGTTAATTCTAATTATGTAATAATTTTTATTCGCAACTTCGGGACTATGGATCTCTGAACTAACATTAAACAGCAAACTGAACGGGAGAATTTTCTCCACCGATTTCAGTATTTGTGCGATCAATTGTACGTCCGGTTTATAACGAATGCTCGATGTATATATGACTGTGTTCCCTTTGGCGCTCACAACACTTTCATTCTTTGTTGTTTATTAAATATTAAATAAGGACAATTGATGCTCACAAGTGCTGTAAACGAAGTGCTTCAAAGCGAACACAGCCATAGAGTATTCCCAGGTTAAACCGCCAAAATATGAAAATTTAAGACCTCAAAGCAAACAAAATTTTTCTGTGGAAAGTTTACTCGTAAACGCTTCGTTTAACAGACAGTGACTTCTTACACAGTTGGAAAATTTGTATTAAAAATTTTCGTGTCCCAAATTATTTTTAACGTTTGTTACTTTGAAACACATTTATTTTGTTAAACATGTCATAAAGTAATG